AAGGGTTGACACCTTTGATTTTTGATCAACCGTAAGCTGGGATCCCACAGCTACTGGGACAGGCATCAAATCAGCGTTATCGACCACGGCAACCTTGCTAGACTTGACAGAAACACTGGCTTCACCCTTTGACTGGCTCTCGTCGCATTTGTCGAGCACTGATCCCAAGTGCAGGGTTCCCAGAACTGCAGACTTTGGCACAAGAAGGTCCTCATTAGTCTCATTATACAGCGTAGCATGGAATCGACCCAGCTCTACCTTGACAAGACACGGCGGAACTGTAATTCCAGCGGGAGGGCCTCCATTCTTTGATGGCTCTAGGACAGCCTCGTAAGTACTTCTTCCAGGGAAGATGCTCCCTCTGCCGTGGATGACAACCCCCTGCCGTGCAGAGACGACAACTGCATGCCCCCCAAGGTATGCCCGTCCGACGCTCCCACGCTTTGAGTCGAATTTCATGGTCTTTTCAACCAAATGCATCGCCCTCTGCCAAGTTCCATCTTGACCTGGCCAGGGAATCTTGGTCAGGCAGTGTCCACCCCAGGTACTCACAAGCCGCTCCCAACATTGTTGCAACACGTTCATGCCAAGTATGCCTGGCACACCTCTTCCTAATGTCAGATGTGATGTCTCCTCCTTCAGCACAAGCACTATGCGAGATTCGGCATTGTGCCCCAACACTTGTATGTCAGTCTCAAAATAACCAGCATAGGGAATGGTTGCCCCGTTAGCTGAAACAAGGGAAAAAAGCTCAGGTATTGGTCTAAGCTGAAAACCCCTTGGACTCAGGTGCATTCTGAAGTACTGTTCTCCAACCGAAGTAACCTGCGAGCCCGGATCAAGTAGGCACTTCACTACTACACCCTTAAAAATGGCAGTTACAGAATAACATTCACCCACAGTCTTTGCAAGAAAGTGTGGATCCACATTGGTAGGTGAGCCTCTCACACCAACCTCTGCGGTATGGCTCTCTACAGCAGAGGGTTGACATTTAATTCTTGTGGAGCTCGATGCGGCGCTGGCATCTCTTCTGGTTGACGCTGGGGGAAGTTGGGATCTGGACACCACTGCGGGGATTCCCGTCCTCTGGGCCACGTCTTACGAACTGGTCCACCTCGGGTGGGGCAATTCCTGGCGAAGTGTCCAAGACGACCGCATGTATAGCACCTGTCACGATAGCCCGTCTGGTATGAGCCACCAGCTTGATACATCGCCCCCTGATCTGAGTGTAGATGTCCAGGACTGGTGTGCGAAGGGGGTGGAAAAGCCACTACTTCTTTGACTGCTCGAACTACTTGGTTGCCAATCTCCCGAACAGCTCCCAAGACATCCTCGTTAGTAATGTTCCTGGTGCTACCTTCACTGCTTGTCTGGATGGCTGCTTGGTAGGCCATTCCGGGTGCGGTCGCTTTGCTGCGGGCCAATTCCTGCCCTTCTCGTTTCAGGGCATACTCTCGCAGGTCGCGGAAGGAGGTCACAGATCCTCGCTCGAGCAAGTCTCTACAGGTGTTCCGCAGGTAATTGTCGTCCAACCCCTCAATGAACTGTTCAGCCAGAGCAGAATTTGGAGAGGAGAAAAGCTTGGCATCACGTCGAGTAAGCCTGAGAAAGCGCTTCTCCAATTCCACAGCAAAATCCCTGATGCCTTCACCTGGGTGTTGCTTCCTCTCCAAAAAGAGCCGCTGTAACTCCCCAACCGCAAGTTTTTCACCGTAGGACTCCCGTAGGAAGGCCAGAATTTCGGTGACACCCTTATTTTCCTGGAGCAAGGCCTTTACTTCTGCTCGCGGTCCTCCACGGACATAATCTAGGAGGAAATGGCCCCTCTGGTCTTCAGGAATGGAGTAGCGCTCAAATGCATTCTTCATGCTGGTGAGGAAGTCTTGGATTTCGCCCGCCTTGCCATCAAATGCAGTGATCTTGCGATCTGGTGCCATCACAAGTGGTGCTTGGGGTCTGGAAAGAAGCTTTGTCAGTTGCTCCTGAAGACCTTGAATCGATGGACTCTCTGCGGTGCTTGCAATTGGCTCTGGAAGTAGCACTGCGTATACACGCTCTCCCCATCCATCAGGTGGCGGCTTAATTACGTCACCCTGGGCTGGAACAACTACTTTATCGTCTCCCTCAGTGTAGAGTAGGCCAGTAGCAGTAGGGTGTTGTGACCGCAGAACAGTAAGGTGCAACGGTCCTCCTTCCTCCTCCAACGGAAACCGCTGTACAGACTTGGCACCTTGAACTCTCACATAAGCCATAGTGAGGACAAGTTACATGTATTTCTAAAACTTAATGCTGAAACAAGGGGGGGGGGGTAACAAGGTTCACCCACACACCTTGACCTTATCAATGCAACAAGAAGTTAACAACTCTCAATTTCTACAAGGATGCTACTTGAAATGCAATAATCCCTCTGAAAGTAGCACAATGCAACACTAAATTCCTAACTGATCTGAATCTTGAATGCTCTTACTACTCTATGGTAAGTATGATACCTCAGTGTAAAATCAACAATGGCAAATACACATCATTACAAGTGTGCATCCATTTTGGTATGTAATGTGGCACTACAAATATCAATCCACAAAAAAACTCCACAAGATTGTACCTTTAAATTCAACTACAATGGATGCTTGAAAAAAATGCACAACCTCGAGCAGAGCTACATCAATGTACAAAATACAACCAACTCTAGAATTTAAGCATGTGATACAATATCAAATACTATAAATGAAATTACCAATCTAAACAAATTATGTTCCTTCCAAAGTATCAATTCAAAATCTGGCAATGCACAACTCGGAAATTACTTTTCCGAAAACAAGATTTGTAATTACATGCTAAACTGCGTACAACCGGTAGATTCAACAACTTTATCGAAAAAACAGTACCAACACTCCTCTGTATTTAAGAAAAGTTACAAGAAGTGCCCAAGATGCCTTAAAATTACTTGATGCTGACTTGCTCAAGTAACACTGTAAGCTTAATGCACAACTACATGGAAATCAAATACGTGGGCACAACAAGCTAATTCCGTTTAACACTTGGAACGGTGAATACAAAGTCAACACTCCGATTGGACAAAAAGAAAACCTCAAAACACAAGCTGTGTAAAAATATGGGCAAACTATATGAAACAATTTTGAAGTCAACCTGCTATCAATTTGCAACAGCAAGTGTGAAATTTACGTGAGTAAAAGCAGTTACATGTACAAGGAAACCACTTCTCTTTGGTGAATATGATACAAATTCAATAACACCTTTGATATCACGAAAATCAGTAATTGGGGGATAATATATTGGAAACAATTTATGAAATGACCTTTGATGATTCAAATTTGCACAAAGAGGCTAAAACCGAAAATAATTACAGTCAGTTCAATAGCTGTGGTGCAACTCCCACTACGTTTCCAGCTCCCTCGTCCACGATCTGATCTCCACGTCTGCTACACACTCCACCATCCTGCCGACTACGCTTGTAGAGGATCCTAGGGACGGGGTGGGGTTGGGTGATGAGGTAGTACTACTACTAGTGTGGGTTGTATGACTAACTGGTGAAGAGCTCTGGGTCTGGCTAAATGGGTGATTGGGAGGGCAACACGGGCACGCAGGTCCTAGTGAACAGGTGACGCTTGAGAAGTTAGTTTCCTTGCCTCAGGCTCAATGACTGCCATTTATTCTTGCCAACCTGCCAGCCCAGCTGCCAATTCTCACTGTATGAGAATTCGGCAGTGAGGTAAAAATACAAAGAATACAAATTACAAAAAGCACGCACATGTCAGTGTTATACAGATATAAAATTACAATAAACGTGTACATGTAGATCTATTTCCCCAAATTAAATAAACAATCTTCGCATGAAATAAGAATTACCTCAGGCAATGCTGAACATAAAGGAGCAGGCTCACATTTACACATGCTGGCCAGGCACACTCATACACACTATCAACCACTTTCATACACACCAGTCCTCAATGAACAGGAAGAGCCATTATTTGTGGGTTATTATTCCCTAAATGTAAACCTTAGATAATCACAGTACATGTACTGGAATCTGACAATGCGCAATAAGACCCACGTTAAATTATACATGAACATAAATACGTACGTAACGTTATACATGTACACAATTACATGGGAATATCACGTGTGCGCGCACCATGCTGTCACATTTTGCACGTGAACGCGTGTATGCCTATACTACACGCACAATGTTCGCCAAACTCTCCACAACGAGCTCACACTTTGGAGCCCAAAACCTACATTTATATCTTATCAAAACTTTACTTTAATGCCTCCAGTATTATCTATGAACACTAGCGGACAAATCCTAATGCAATATTGGGTAGCGTGCAGTTTGCAAACAAATGATATTTCAATTCAAAAACGAGCTTCAAAAGTTGACAACGTACCTGTATGAGAATTCGGCAGTGAGGTGCCGGTCAAGGGTTACGCAAGGCACAGGTCACGTACATAATAAGGGGCGTGGCTTAACTACATGTAAACACTACGTGCATATCATACGCACACTCTACAGGAAGGTGCCTTTTTTCTGAGCAAGTGCCCCTTTTGGTGATGCCCCCCCCCCCCTCCACCTGTTTGAAAAGCGTTAGATCCGCCGCTGCTGAACTACCACAAAAAGTGGCACGGTCAGTTGCGTTCCACTTCCAGCGGTACTTCATGGCTCATCGCCACAAGGGGTAGATCGTTATCTTTGGCGCAGCTTGCACTACACGGTCCACTTATTACGAGTAAAAAAATTAGCCATCCACGGGTGGATTAGAGCGTTCCGACGAAGTGTTAACTTAGTTTTTTTCGAACTAAGTACCGGAAATAACTTACGCCTTCACTGTTTGCAAAGGGCATGGTTCATTCTTCACTTTGAACTGAAGTAAAGTTGATGTATCCAGCAGTTTACAATTATATTCTAAAAATCATATGAAGTATAATCTGTGCTTAAGGTCTTTTTCAACTTCATCTGATTTTTAATTTCTTGTTCATGACAGCTGAGGTTACGTGCCCGGCCAACGAATTCACTTGCAACAATCAGAGGTGTATTACAATCCGCTGGCGCTGTGACCAGGAGGATGATTGCGGTGACAACTCAGACGAGCAGGGTTGCCCCGAACTCACCTGCGCCGAGACCGAGTTCCGCTGCAACAACTCCGTCTGTATCCCCCAGCGCTGGGCCTGTGACGGGGATAGTGATTGCTCGGATCACTCGGACGAGGCTTCGTGCGGGCAAACGCCCTCCATGCGCTGCACTGAAGGAGAGTTTACTTGCACCTACGGGGACTGCATTCCCGAGTCGTGGCACTGCGACGGGGATAGGGACTGTACTGATGGATCGGATGAGCTGGATTGTCGTAAGTATAGATCTATCCTGAAAAAAATCGTGCTATATTTCAATTCCTGTAGTAACTAGACCACTAATAATCATATGAAGTATCATGTGTGCTTTTATTATAGATCTTACTCTACTTGATCTGATTTCTCATTTCTTGTTCATGACAGCTGAGGTAACTTGCCCAGCCAACGCATTCACTTGCAACAATCAGATGTGTATTTCAATGCGCTGGCGCTGTGACCAGGTGGATGATTGCGGTGACAACTCAGACGAGCTGGGTTGCTCCGAGCCCCCCTGCGCCCCGACCGAGTTCCACTGCAACAACTCCGTCTGTATCCCCCAGCGATGGGTCTGTGACGGGGACAGTGATTGCGTTGATCAGTCGGACGAGCCAGCTTCGTGCGGGCAAACGCCCTCCATGCGCTGCACTGAAGGAGAGTTTACTTGCACCAACGGGCACTGCATTCCCGAGTCGTGGCACTGCGACGGGGATAGGGACTGTACTGATGGATCGGATGAGCTGGATTGTCGTAAGTATAGATCTATCCTGAAAAAAATCCTGCTATATTCCAAAGTACTGGTAGTATAACAAGACAGAAAGGAAACAACTTTCTTAAATTTACATACATGTAATACAGTAAATAAATGCTGCAAAATTACCCATAGGGCTGTTAAATTGATGCATATAGTATGCCATAGATTATGACTGATTTATTAATCCACACTTCTGTGGCCTTTGTTCCCCTGTTACCTCTACAGATCTGGAGATTTGTGCTGAATTCCAGTTTACTTGTGACAATGGAATGTGCATTAACGGATCCAAACTGTGCGACTCTGTCGGTGATTGTGATGATGGTTCTGATGAGGCCAGATGCTCTGGTAAGTGCTAGAAATTAAAGCTACAAATCCACAGTTAATTTGTCAGTATCTGTTTCATAAAATTTATATTAAATTTTCATTTGGTATGGACATTTTCAGTCTCACATACCTTGATTGATAAAGGATATGCAAAGGCAAACATGGGATTTCCTTATTTGAATTTGTGTTAAAATTATTGGAAGAAAAAATAGCAGTATACATTTTCATTTATTCCTGTTTAGTACCTGCAAATCGTTGCCATGAGCACACTGAGTTCCAATGCCCAAACGGAGCCTGTATTTCAATGGACCAGGTCTGCGATCAGCAGAACGATTGCGGAAGCTGGGAGGATGAACCAATGGGCACCATTTGTTGTGAGTAGTAGATACGTCAGATAGATAAAGGGGATTTTCATCAGAGGGTCCATAGTAAGTCCTGTCACTAATCAAAAGTCAATTCACAAGTCCAATCACAAGTAACAAGGAATAAAACAATTAATGATTGCCTCTGTCATAGTTGGGACTGGACGATGATGGACTTGTGACGTCAGTCCCACTGCGCACGTGGGCAAATTAACACGTGCTCCTCTCCAATGCCACGTTGCATTTTCCTTCCGCGCGCATCATACGCGCGTGCACGCATGTCGGACTTTTGTGCACGCATGTCAGACATAAATCACGGCTGTGATTGGTCAGAATCCCATGGGGCGGTGCTTACAGGATCGGTTCACTATAAGGACTGCCTGTACTTGTAAGGACTTGTGATCAAGTCTATAAGCTGAGGGGTGGTTTGGACACAGTAATAAGTACAAGTGCATGTACATCTAATTGCCAAGCTTTTAAAAATCTGTTTGGGCATAATGCAAGCACATTTTGTTACTGACCACTTTGTAAGTATGGAAGGAGTTACTGATCGACAAATTGGAAGTAATTTGTAACAAAGTTTAATTTGCACTCATTCAGATACCAACGAGTGTGAAGAAAACAACGGAGGCTGCCATCACATCTGTAACGACCTCCCTAATGGTGCCTACTGCTCCTGTCGCTCCGGCTACGAGCTCGTCAACGATCTCTGTGTCGACATCGACGAATGTGAGACCATCCCTGGCAGCTGCAGTCAGGGCTGCGACAACTTAGAAGGTCACTACAAGTGTAATTGCGACGACGGCTACATCCTGGAGAACAACCAGTTCTGCCGAGCCACGGGACCTGACCCTCTGATCTTATTTGCCAACCGACACGACATCCGTTCATTTGATGCCCATACCAAAAGCTATACGCTGCTCTACTCCAACCTTGAGAGTGTCGTGGCTTTGGACTTTGACGTGCAGACCAACACACTCGTGTGGACAGACGTGGCTGATGAAAAAATCTACAAGTAAGTATTAATAAAAAAAATTCGCAGCGTGGCGTGATTTCTGAGGTGTTTTACAGAGTCTTTTGATCATCAGTGCAAAATTGCTGCATGATACCACGAGAATTTATCGTGGCATTGCTGAAGTGGTTTGCTTCATTAGTTTGTCTAAAGGAGTAACATCTCTTATTTTATCTCCAGGGGCGTGATCCAGACTGACGACACAAACACTCCAACTACGCTCGTGGACCGCATCGAGACTGCTGATGGTATCGCCATGGATTGGATCTATCGTAAGGTCTACTGGACCGACACTGGTAGCAACTCGGTGGGCGTGACATGCTTCAACACTGGCGACACAAAGACTCTCTATACTGAGAACATCGACGAACCAAGAGCTATTGTTGTGGATCCAGAATCTGGGTAAGTCTGCTATTCTCCTTTATTTTTGCAAAAGAGTGAAAGTGAAATTCTTCCTACCGTTTCTTTCTTCATTCAAGAGCATTTTCATAAATGCCTCCCCGAAGGTAGTAGAATAGTTTCCAAAGAACAGCTTTGAGATTGTGAATAAATGAGTTTCCTTTTGCTGGGTGTCCTTTTATTTGTTTTTAAAACTTACAGGTTCATGTTTTGGACGGAGTGGGGACAGCACCCGCTCATTGAGAGGACAGGCATGAACGGCGACTTCCGTTCCTCGATCGTTACTATTGAGATACAGTGGCCCAACGGCATGGCCATCGACTATGCAAGTGAGATGCTGTACTGGATCGACGCCAAGCTACATACCCTCAGCACCGTAGATTTCAACGGCAACAACCGCCGCACCATCCTGGAGAGCCACTCCCTCCTGCCTCACCCGTTCTCCATCTCCGTCTTCGAGGACCACGTCTACTGGACGGACTGGAACAGAGAGTGCATCACGAGAGCTAATAAATTCACCGGCATGGATCGGGAAACACTCCTGACAAAACTCTACTCACTCATGGATATTAAGGTCTACCATCCACTCCGACAGCCAAACCGTAAGCATTAACTCGCATATTTTCTTCCCAACCATAAAATATCTAAATTCTTGTTGAAGAATAGTGACTATAGATATTTTGTCTGTTCCACATAGCAAAATGGACAAAATGTCAGATGTTGCTAGAGCCAAAGGCTAGTCTACCGTCTTCTGACTGACGGAGTCACTGACTGATAAAGTCCCTGAGTATAAAATATGTCCTAAACTGAGACTTTTGAGTCCAGTTAAATCTTGTTTTGCACAAGGAAACTCCTAAATCTGAAACATTACTCAAAATGTTTTCTATAATGGCTGTTTTTGATTTCGTTGCAGGTACATCAAGCCGTTGTGGAAGCAACAACGGTGGTTGTTCCCACCTATGCGTTGCTGCACCCCAAATATCAGAGGCCTCAGCTACATACAGCTGTCTCTGCCCCAACGGCATATCTCTCCTTCCAGACGAGCGTACCTGTGAAGGTTCCTTCCCCAAACCAACCCATACCAACACGCCTGAACCCAACCCCAAGCCCACGACCATGACCTATGACACCAACATGCCTAACTCCAAGTTCGTACATCCTGATGACATCAACGTGGTCACACAGAAACCACAAGTGTACACATTAAGTGTATACAAAATATTACACAGGCTGTGTGAAATGTTACGTATTTGCAATGTGCCGTACGAACCTCTTAATGAATAGTAGTTAGGTAAAACTTAATAGTTAGGCACAACAGGCGTTGGGTAAGGTTTTTAACAATTTTTGGTAAAATTGTACTTCGAAAACTTGTAAATTTAGTTAGTTTTGGTAAAAAGAGCCATGACCCCCTGCTATAAAAAACATATTTAAACAAATAATTATAAAGACATTTAACGAACGCTAACCCGACGCTAATTACGAGTAGGAGTACGAAATACGAGTATGTGTATTAGGTTGTTCGAAATTCCTCTCAAAAAGTCTTAAAAACTTTTCCTCAAATAATTCAGGGGGAAAGGGGCTAGTGGTCGCCTCAGATTGCACCACAGAGCATCTGTGGTCCAAATTTTCCTGGGGTCCTTAAGCGGGCCGCGGACCCCATGCCGTATAAAACCCATTTTTTGACCAATAAAATCTTTGTACTGTGTTGCGTTTCGCAAGAAGTAAAATCAGGCAATACAAAGGAATAAAAAACATACAAGGCAAAATAAAAATTGAATACATGTAATTAACTTAGTCCACTAGACATTTATAAAGCAGGCAACAATTTTTTGGTAGTAGGGGCGGATCCAGTGGGGGGACAAGCCCCCCATTTTGTTCCTTCAAAAATTAAAGCAAGATTCAGAAAGTAAGAGAGAATATTAATAGAGAGGTATATTAATAGAGAGGTATATTAATATCTTTGTAAAAAAATAGGTAAAGTTTTACAGAATCTTTGGTAAAAATTTGAAAGATTAAAATGTATCTATCCATTACGATTAGGTAGAGTTGTTGCCCTATATACTTGTAAGTAGAGTTTCTTTAATTAAATAATTACATTTCCATTTATATAATTAAGTGACGTCTGATTCCTCTCAGTGACTAGATCCGGAATGGCGATACTCCCGGTTGAATAAGTGTTGGTCCAATCTTACTTTCTTCTCAGAAACCAAAACAAAAACAACTAGAGTTTCGCGTTTGTTGAGTTACAAACGCAGAGTGGTCGGGCGGACAGCCTTCTCATTATACACTGCCCAGTTAAGTTAGGAATATATGTAGAAAAAAGGATCACGAAATTAAATCCCTTCAAGTACAATCAATGTTTCAAAAAGGTATCTTTAACGGTGTGATAAACTTCAGTAAACATTCTATGTGCACAAAAAGTTATTTCTAGTTTGATGACGTCATCAGTCAAAAATGGTTAGTGAATACTGATAAAGTTCGGAGAGGATAATTTGTCATTTTAAAATTAAATAACGTATGAAAATATGGGAAATATAATTGTTTGTATTAATATCACATAACTTCCGGTTTGACGACGTATTTATAACACCTAACTTCCGGTTTGATGACGTCACATCATTAGAGATCCAAAGGTGAACATTGTAATGGATATCATTATTTGGACTTCGAAGATATGACAGGGATCAAATGATAAAAATAAATTTAAACTTTGATCATTTTCGAATTCTCCTTAGAGTAACTTCCGGTCTGATGACGTCATGAATTTGAAACCTTGCCACCTTATGTGTGGTTAATCAGAGAATGTCAAGGGGCGATTTGGTAAAATTTGGACGGATAGTTTTACAATTACAGACGGGAAACTATATTTTATGTGCCGATAGGGGGCGCCCTTTCGGATGATGACGTCATCACACTGTTTTTTGCGTCTTGCATTCCTCACTATACACTTTCATAATATATATGTCTGTAGTGAAATGCTTCCGCTTTTGAGTAATATTCAGTTTTTATTGCACTTCCGGTAACACCGGAAGTAAAGGTCAAGCGGTTTTGCATCCGGGAACATGAAATGTTTCTCACGGCATAGTCTACAACCTCACGAAAAAACGAACACGATACTCTATTTAGTTCAAAATATATAACTCAAACTATTTTGTCAAAGTTTGCCCTTAAATTGCTTGTAATTTGATACCTGATTACGTCATGATGACGTAACAAAATGTACAACATCTTCGTAATATGGTACAAGTTCACACAAGGTTTTGTGATCATACCGTGAACCGTTCGGAAGAAATGCTGCTTTGTTTTGATGTCAGGCTAAGGTCTTCATTTTGAATTCACCTAACTTTGACCTTCCGGTAGACCCGGAAGTAAAGGTCAAGCGAGTTCACGTACACTACAAAAATTGTTAAGCGATTAATGGTCTATCTGATTACAGAATACAAACATCATTGATTGTTTAGTTCAAGAGTTATAGGTGAAAGTAATTGGTCACTTTTTCAGATAAAATCACTTGTAATTTGACACCCGATGACGTAATCATGACGTCAGAGTAATATGCACCACTTCGGATAAGGGTCGATATATATTGAAAGTTACAAGTTCATACCATATACCGTTTAAGAGAAAACCCGCGGAGAAGTATTGTCCGGAAAAAAAAAGAAAGAAAGAAAGAAAGACTAGAAATGTGTTTGTGGACAAACACTGAGCTGTGTCTTTCCTACGCCCTGACTATGCATGAACATGAAATCTGTCAAAGTTAGCCGGAAATCGGCTAAAACGGTCACTGTGGACAGGATAGACCTCAGCAACACGTGCGCTGTGCGCGGGCTGACTGACATACGATATGTACAACGTACGTGCATGTACATGTACATTGTGGACTGTGCATGTTTTAAAGCAGAGTTATTGTCAACCTGAAGTTTTAAGCGTGCGCAGGGCATGTCCGAGTTTGCTTATTGCCTTGAAGCTTTGAAATATTTTAGACCTACCCTTAAATAGACAATTAAAGTAAAAACTAATATAAAAACTGCCATGGTTGATTTTTCAGGAATTTTTTAAGGAAAAAGGGTCTTTTCATTATAACTTCCGGTCTGATGACGTCATACACCTTAAACTTTGCACACGTCTTAAGTGGGTCAAGGTCATCATATACACCAATATTTGGGCGATTCCGACAAACTTCGCCACAGACATCTATTCAAAATACATTTTTGAAAATATTCAACCTGTCGCTAGAGGGCGCTCGAAGATTGCATGACGTCATCGGTAGATGATTTGAAGAATACTTCTAGCCAAGAGACTAACACCGTTAAAAGCAAGATCATATCTATTACCACTTTTAAATAATAAGCCACTTCCGGTTTGGGCCTTTTTCGACCGGAAGCAAGGGTCACGTGATTTTACGCACACTGAATGAAATAAAGACCTCAACCTACTCTACCACTTGCCGGCAACAGAATGCTGCGGACGCGTACGGTTGATTTCTTATGCATTTTCAAATATTAAAAGTGTCACAATTTAATTGCCCATAAATAAACACCGGATGACGTCATCATGACGTCATCGTTACACAATGTTGTTTGAATTAGGGTCATTGCTTGCACAAAGATTGGTGTAAATGAATTACTGGCAAAGTGTCGAAAATGCCCTCTGAAAATTGACATTTTTTTTTAAATTTCTGTGTACAAAGTCTATGGGAAAAATTAAATATTCAAAAATCTATAATAAATCACGTGATGACGTCAGCATGACGAAAAGTTTCGGCGCACATCTTCAGATGGTGGTCTAAGTGTGTGCCAGGTTTGAAGTTGATCGGATTTGAAAAAAGTCCAAAAGTGCGTTGTAGAACGAAAACACGTGTTATCCTATGAGAAAAAAAGTGGAAGAAAAAAAAACTAGAGCTGTATGTCTGTTTGCAAACAGAACACAGGGCTTTTTCGCATTTTCAGAGTGCTTTATGCAGTTAAAGGTTGTTCAAAACGCTTAGAATAATTCCTAAAGTATAATTTTATCAAATGATGTCACTTGCCCTGCAATGACGTCATCCTTAAGACCCTTCTCAATGCACATTTTGTCATTGTGATTTTGGTTTGAACCAAGTTTAATGTCAATCCGGTGAAAGAAAGTGTGCAATTTGTGGAAGCACAATAACATTTAAAATATCTTAAAATTATAAAAACCAAACGATGACGTCATCGTGACGTCACTTTAAACTTTGTATACTAGTACCATTATTTACCTACCCATTAAGTTTCATGACAGTCGGACCTTTCCTTATATGTGTATTTTGAAAATCGCATTTTTATGACGTCATAATGATGTCAGATATTTAGTTCAAAATGTTGTGCAAATACCTATTACCTAACAGACCAAATACACAAAGAATTTTTAATTTTGCATGTTACGTTCATGAGATATGGCTAAAAGGTCAAAAACCTCAAATATTCATATAAAATCTCCGGATGACGTCATCATGGCGTCACCTAATTGGTTTTTTTTACCTATAACACATCCCGGTCTAGCCACATACCAAGTTTCAACCCAATCAGGCTTACAGTTCTGTAGATATAGGACAACATAATATGCACGTAAATTTTCAAAAATCAATAAACAAAATTGGGTGATGACGTCATCATGACGTCATAGTCTTGGCATAATTTTTGTATGAGGGTCTTCCTTGGCTGTTACATTGATGACGATTCCAGATCGCCAAGTTATAGAAATGGTGGCTTGAAAACGTGTACAAAGTCAATGGGCTAACACGTGTACAAAGTTAACGGGCTAAACAAAATCCCACTGCAGAAAAATTGCACCTTTAATTTGTAATTTGCCTTTGAACTGAAACATTTTTATGAAATATTACTTGATATTCTGACCCTTAGGAATATGTTCAATCGAATGACAGACCGAAAAAAATACGATTTCTCTTTCCTTCTCATAGTAATTCTCGGCTGAGGTTCAGAACTACTCAGTAAGATATCAGTGTTGTATAGGAAAAGGCTTGTGGAAAATCCCACTGCAGAAAAACTGCACCTTTAAATACGTAACATAGGGCTTTTCGGCATTATGATTTTTTATTATACGCCCCTGACTATGCGTATGCATGAACATAAAATCTGTCAAGGTTAGCCGAAAATCGGCTAAAACGGTCACTGTGATGTGGACAGGATTTGACCTCGTCAACACGTGCTCTGCAGGCTGACTGACATACGATGTACAGTATGTGCGTAACGTACGTGTATGTACATGTACATATAGATGTTCTGTGCATGTTTTAGAGCAGAGGTATTGTCAACCTGAAGTTTTAAGCGTTCGCAGGGCATGTCCGAGTTCGCTTATTGCGTCGAAGCTTTGATATGTTTTAGACCTACCCTTAAATCGACAATTAAAGTAAAAACTAACATAAAAACTGCCATGGTTGATTTTTCAGGAATTTTCAAATGAAAAAGGGTCTTTTTATTATAACTTCCGGTCTGATGACGTCATTTGCCTAAAACTTCGCACACGTCTTAAGTGGGTCAAGGTCATTATATACACCAATATTTAGGCGATTCCGACAAACTTCGCCACAGACATCTATTCAAAATACATTTTTGCTAATTTTCAACCTGTCGCTAGAGGGCGCTCGAAGATTGCATGACGTCATTGGTAGATGATTTGAAGAATACTTTTAGCCAAGAGACTAACACCGTTAAAAGCAAGTTCATTTCTATTACCACTTTTAAATAATAAGCCACTTCCGGTTTGGGCCTTTTTCGACCGGAAGCAAGGGTCACGTGATTGCACGCACACTGAATGAAATAAAGACCTCAACCTACTCTACCACTTGCCGGCAACAGAATGCTGCGGACGCGGACGGTTGATTTCTTATGCATTTTTAAATATTAAAAGTGTCACAATTTAATTGCCTATAAATAAACACTGGATGACGTCATCATGACGTCATCATTCCACAATGTTGTTTGAATTAGGGTCTTTGCTTGGACAAAGATTGGTGTAAATGAATTACTGCCAAAGAGTCGAAAATGCCCTTTGAAAATCGACAATTTTTTCTTAATTTTTGTGTACAAAGTCTATGGGAAAAATTAAATATTCAAAAATCTATAATAAATTAGTCAATGACGTCACCATGACGTCACTCTTCGGGGCACATCTCTGCTATAAGGACTATGACTATGCTTAATTTGAATGATGTAAGACGAAGATTAATACCAAAAGTGGCACTGAGAAAAAACGTGTACAAAGTCTATGGGATTTAGGCGACAAAAAGAAGAAGAAGAAGAAGAAGAAGAAGAAGATACAAAAAAAATGAGAACAGAAAGAAAGGCTTTTTCGCAAAATTGCGAAAAAGCCAAAAAGAGAAAAAAAAAAATAACAAAAACAAGAGCTGTTTCGGTGTGTACACCGAAACAGCTAATTAATCGTAACAGATCCAAAGAGTGGTCGGGTTGTGCCTGACCACTCAAAAAGGGAAAATACTGTACTTAGTCTGAGAGTCAAATACAACGTTGTGTTATAACAAACAAAAAAGAAGGCCTTACAGAACTCTTGAAAAATTGATCAGAAAACATGGCAAGGGCTAAATTGATGCCAACTAAAATGAACATACCAACGTGACCGGTTTGGTATAAAGTGAAGATGCACGGCATGCAGTGACTCTCCTACATACAGTTAGTCCATGCATAATGACTCGCGTACGCTGCAGCATAATGAACACATACATGATCCTCAGTCCTGATTAAATTCTTACATCTTTGGTACAAATTTCGTGTGTATTTGCCCAACAAAGTGGTTAGTAAATAATAGTTATTAAGTTAACAGTTTTGAGGTGTTAACCTAACTCTTGTAAATCTGCGTCATTACATTTTTAAATGTTCTTTTCATTTTTCAAGCTACAAGACAATTCCGTAAATTCTTTTGGTCAGTTTTTACTCAAATTATTTTGTTTGTTTTTTACAAAAATAATAACCTAATATTTTTCACTATTCATCAGGGTGACCATTTTAGCTGAATTTCGGCTAAATTTGACAGATTAATTTGAAAAAAAAACGGGTTTCGCAGAAAATCTAACAGAGTGAAGTTTTTTAAGCAGATTTGTGGCAGAATTCCGCAAAAATGGTGATTCTGACAGGAAAATATAGCAGATTTGAAAAATATAGCTGATTTGTTTTGAAAAAGCGTCAATTTTGTTCAAAGAAACCCTTGCACAACGGGACAGTCTAAGCGACGAGGTTCCCTGATGTGTACTACGTAAAGTACTGTAGACATTGGGGAAAAATATAACATTTAAAAAAAAAAAAATTGTTTAAAGGAAATTTCATAGATTTTTTTGGTTTAAGGGAAATTTTATAACATCTGCATGTGAGTATGATTGTTTATAATGTATTTCGTGTAATTATAGGTGATGTAGCAGATTTTTCGTAGGCCTAAATCTGGCAGATTTTTGAAGTGCATCTAGCAGAATTTTGCTAAGACCTATACCTGCTATTCATATAGCAGTTGTATTTTCTGACCATTTTATGCCCCCGATAGGCCTACTACTTACATTATTAACAGTAAATAGCCCTAATTAAAAAGTGATTTATACTTTGTCCATCTCTTTGTGTAGAGAGACCATTTTCTCATCACACGAAAGGGGTATTGTTGCTTTTGATGGCCGGTTCAGTGAATTTGTTTCGCGTGAATAGCACTATTATTATTTTTTAGGGGCCGATTTTCCATCTCGAGAGGGGCACAGTTTTATTATTGCGAGAGGGGTATTTGTGCATTCGAGGGGTAGTTTCCCATCTCGAGAAGGTGCATAATCTTGTTAATGCGGGGTACGTACTTATGTTTTTCAGGAGACAATTTTGTAGCGCGATCATGGCCAGCTAGAGCATTATGGCGTTCGTAAAGAGGGGAATGGGGCTCGTTCTCCCGTCACTCATTTGGGAGAGGCAAAAAGGAGCTTTTTATTTTTGCTTAAAAATATGAGTGCCCTTGTTCTGAAAAACTGGATCCCATATAAGATCACTCGCCTCGTCTGACTCGATGATGATAATTATCCCAGAATAGGTTCATAGTGAACCAAGACGATTTATTTCTTAGAATATTACCAAAGTTAGAACAAAAAAAACACACAGTTTCCCGTGTTTATGAAACGATTTGATCTGCATCCTTTCCAACAGAATTGTTTGTGATATGCCGAATATGTCATTAAGGCCCACGATAGTTGTATTCATATTTTGCTTTACTATTAATCATAAACTTCTCAAAAGCAAAATATCAGCCCGAACCGCTTTGTATTCAAATTGTGGGGAACCACTGATACGTGTCACGCGCGCGATACGTGCGTGATGCACAAAGGTCACGTGCAGTTTTGGGTGAGCAATGAATCGCTGGGAAACACTGAAGTAAGGATAAACAAACCCATGTGGTGCTGAAAGCTAGACGTCTATTGGACTAGGATTGCATGACGTGTTTTGTTTATCTTGAAAAATGCATTGTTGAGGCGAGTTGGCACATGCGCGCGAGCGAAACTCCGAATTGGCTTATGCAACCTCATCAGGACAAAAGAGAAGTTTTTCTGAATGACAAATTTTATTTCAATAAAAATTAAGTTTATATAAAATTTGTATGCTGATGAAGCCAATAAGTGGTATTTTTTCCCCAAAAAAGAAGAAGCATTTATATATAATTTCTGGATCTACGATCAAAGGAGCTATACAAAGGACCAGTAAATATTGCCCCCCCCCCCAGGGCTCCGGCCTCGCAAAATTAAAACAAAGCACAGAAATTAACTCACCGTCTGCCATTTCGATATTTCGTCTTCAACCACGAGATAAAAGTTGGCTAAATAGAGTGGACTGCCTCCCTTGTCCTGCTGAAGGAGCGACTGCGTTTGTTATGGCTCCGTCCCCGTTGTCTCATTCCCAAGGAGAGATTAAGAGCTAACTAACACTCAGCTAGTTATTTGAACTTGACCAGTGGCCAGAATGCTAGCCACACCGACTTTGCAATCAGCAGATATATGCCGGGTACAATATGCCTGTTGCAACCCTGCTATATCAATGACCTGGACACGGCGTACGACGTGTACATGTATAACCCTGGGCTACTAGCTGTGTGTGTTGCAATATTTGCCCCGTGACCTGCTAGGGTTGACTTCATACACTCTGCACATGTTAAATCAGCTGATACGGAAACTGATGTGCACACACTGCGAGATAATAGGCCTGTAGTACAAGGAAACTGTATCCATATCGAAAATGATATCTATCCGAGGACGAAAATCCAATAATTAAATGAAGGATGACTGAATTAAATCTGATTTATTTTTTTAAATAAATAAACATTGTAGGCCTAGGCCGATGATGATATCACAAATATTCTGCATATCTTTTTCCGTTTACAGTCGACTCTCGTTATAACAAGGTCGATGGGACTAGCCAAATTATCTCTTTATAACAGGAATGTCGTTATAAAAGGACAGCGAAACAAAGAAACACAAAGAGAACCTGAAATTTGGGACTTCAGCAGAACCTCTTTATAAAAGTGCTCTTTATGAGAGTCGACTGTAATTCTACAAAACATGTTCAATCTAACTTCAGTTTAAACACATACGACCATCGTGCGAATTTTAAGTTGCACTATGTCGTACTATATCACCTTGGACAGTAAATTGTGAGTATTTTTCCTGACTTTGAAGAGGGGGCATTTATCATTGGGGTTTAGGGCAGTTTATTGCACCCATAGGGACACTGTTTAAAGCGGACACTCATGGACACTCTGGGATAGTAGGTGGCGCTCTCCATCCCTGCCGACTGCTGTGGCACGCTTTTTTTCCGACAGGCCGATGTCGCCGGCCCGATTTGGCTTCCCGCGTCCCCGCCTGGCTCGCTCTTCAATAGCGCCCGGGCAGGCGCGGATCCAGGAATTCTTTAGACGGGGGGCACATTTTGGATTATAGATGCTCTGTGGTGCATGCTGAGGCGATTCCTGGCCCCTTTCCCCCTGAATTATTTGAGCAAAAGTTGTTAAGCTTATAAGGAATTTTTTTTTAAAATACTCTTGTTTTTACAAATTTTATGCTACTGTGTACTTCAAAGTTGCAAACCATGTATTTTCGTCTGCATAATTTCAAGCATTGTATTAAAAAAAAGGAATTGTATTGACTTAGAAAACTGTTGCAATGGGCGATGCGCTGGGGCATTTGCTCCAATGACTAATGCGAACGCGAAGCAGTGTCTTACGGCGTGGGGTTCGGGGCCCACTGAAGGGCCCCGGGAAAGTGTTGATTCTAAAGATGCTTGGGGTGCAATCTGAGGCGATTCCTGGCCCAATTTCAGCAAAATGTTGTGAAGATTGTTAGAATTTTTTTTTTCATTATCGCTTCGGTTTGCGATAACACCATGTGTTTTTTTAAATATTGTTTGTTCATTGGTTTAAAATTGTACCCATGTATTTCTTAATACAAGCCTAGTTAAGTTTCTTCTGTTCTTCACTTGATAACCAAATATTTTCGACTGCATTATCAGCTTCTTGCATTTTATTTTTGAAGAGGAATTGGATAGGCTTAGTTTGTAAACTGTTTTAAGGATGCGTCGGGAGATCCGCCCCGAGGACTAATAATGCGGAGCGCGAATGTCTTTCGGCGTGGGGTCCGGGGCCCGCCCCGGTAATTTTTTTGATAATTAGATGCTCTGTGGTGCAACCTGAACCGATTCCTGGCCCCTCTTTCCCTGAGTTACTTGAGCGAAATTTTAAAGTTAAATAAGGATTTTTTTCATTGGTTTAATATATACTCTTGCTTTAACAAGTCTTTTAAGTTTCTTCTGTTTTTCACTTGATAACCATTTTCGTCTGCATAATTGTTTTCGTGCATTTTATTTTTGATAGGGAATTGTATAGACTTAGTTTGTAAACTTTTGCAAGGATGCTTTCTAATGTTTTGTATCAAGTTTAAATTTTCAGTTAATCAATAAGATAAGATTTTCTATGGACATTTTCTACGGAAACAGACATGTTTTGGACTCCTTAAAAGCGCCAAAGAAATGCTGGCAAAGTGTTCCTACAAAAACCGTACCCTTGACCAATAGTGTGGTACAAAGAGCAGCGTACAACGTGTGTTAGTCCGTGGGACGAGGCCTTTTTTTCGCTCGGCACGCGGTCTGGTTCGCCGAATTTTATAAAACTTCACAGACATGTAGATTATGGTGTACCATGTCGAAAAAACTTTGTTTCCCGGTCCACAGTTTGTGAATGAGAAAATCTGGGATAAAAACGCTGAAAATTCTACATGAAAAAAGAAAAAAAGAAACAGCGCCCTCTATTGATAGTCCAAACCTTTTCTCACGCAATGGCCGTCCGAGTTCGGGCGGTCTGTTTTGACGCGAATATTTTTATTGTTCTCGCGTGGGAACAGGACCCACGAACACTGCACTCGGAACAGGATTTCACACCACCTACTCGTCAGGGTTTGCAAAAATAATATACCCGTGTCAAGAAAAAGACCCGCCCGAGCTCAGCCAATGAGTGCTTGCTAGTTGCTAAATGATACTTCTTTCATATTATATTCTAGATTTTTTTGTTATTTCTCATCGTGATGCTAAAATATCTTCGCTACAGTTTTTTTCGAACATGAAATGATAAACATTTAAATTTAAGATCGAATGTTATGTATTTACCCCAAAAAAGTCTCCGGTTTCTGTATGCACGCGCGTCGCCGTAGCCATGCGCGTCGGCAAAATGAAAAAGTTTTTTTTTCAATGAAAGATGATGTCTCAAAACCGCCAAACTCACTGGTTTGACTGGAATTCTGCTGCTGCACAATTTTAAGGTGTTTTTAGATTGGGTTATGGTCGAGAATTTTTATGTGGCCTCTCTGGAGTCTCATATATTTGCACTAAGTTTAGTCGAGCACCATTTGCAGTCATCAGCCGACATTTGAAGCAAAAAAATCAGCTAAAAAAAAAAAAAAAGCCGCGTCGCCGCACCACTTTTTGGGCAACCTCCATACCAGAAACCGGAGACTTTGGCCTTAGCTACAGATACATAGATTGGTAAGATTAAACCCCAGATCAATATAATTTTGTGATCTCTTATCTCAGGGTAACATATTTTCAATAATAATAGAAGTTCACGCGTAGCATCTGGTGGAGCATCTGAACTTCTGAAACATCTTTTCAAAATGTTTCGCCTGAAATAAAAAAGAAAGAAACTAATACAAATTTGATGCAGCCTCAAAAGAGGAAGCAGGTGGGCCGTTTTGGTTTATTGGTGGTTCTCGCGGAACGGATGGAGCAACAACAAAACATGAATCGGTTCTTAAAACAATATTCAAAATAATAAAAACGGTAAGACGGTTTCGGCTGAAACAAATTGCAGATGTAATGCTGCCACTCAAAGATTCCGAATAGTGGAATATAAACTATTTTCTCTTCTTAAAATTTTTTTTAAACAGAAAGTGGGTCCTACACTTCAGTGACGAGACTTTCGATGCATGTTACAACAATTATGTAATCGGCCTGTGATGTAAACAGGTGCTTAGCTCGTTTTGTCAGTTGAAAATAAACGAGTAGCTTCATTCAGTACAGATTGAACAAACTTATGTCATCTAAATACCATTCTTCTTGTGTGGGTAAAAACTGTGAAGGTTAAAATTGCCCCGACCCCACAAAAATGAATAAATGAAATAAAACTATATTATATTAAATAAATTTGTATTTCTTTTGGTGTTTACTTAAACCACATTGCACCTGGAATATAGACAAATTACCAAAAACGGTATTTGCAGTTACTGCCGTCTTTATTTGTTGAGTCTTTTTTTATTTTTTTATAAAAGTCTAATCAGAAATATAATCAACCTAAGTACATATGTACGAATGAGAACTTGCCATTTTTTTAGTGGTTTTGTATTAAGACGCTTCAACTTATCTGATGACATGTATATAATTCCTTATTCAAATTCTGCGTGACTGCTATTGAAGGGGGGAGGGGGAGTCTGTTAAAAAAACTTCACTTATGACAATATTTCTTTAAGACAAACTGAAAGATGCGATTAACCATGCGATTCTCATCTGCAGTACGGTTTAACTATTATTTTAATGTAGTTAATAACATTCGATCTTAAAACTTGATCATTTCAAGTTGGACAAACTGTAATGAAAAGGTTTTGACATCCTGATGAGAAATAATGACAAAAATATAGAATATGCATGTAATATGAAGCTTGAAAGAGGTATTATCTGGCAAGCACTCCTTGCGTTTTGTCCTGTTTGCAGGGCGGGGGTACGAGCGAATCATTGCGTACGAATTACAATTGTGTGTGTTGTTTTACAATATATTTGCGATATTCTCAAATATGTGAGCAATGTTTTTCACATATGTTTGACATTTCGAGCTATTTGTATTCGATGTTTCATCGGTGTGTTTGCATTCGATCAATTGCAATATGCATTTGATGTTTCCCTTTTCATTCGATGTTTCGTTAAGAGTCAAAGTCTGGTTACTACACTGCAAAAGTCTGACTATTTTGTCTAAAGTCAGTGTATGAGACGTCAGGGGATCGCGTGAAGTAATTAGAGCCAGACCTAAACGGTAAAAACCGGAACTGTGGGTAATTCTTTAAGCATACGCAATGCGTTCATCATTGTTTGGGCAGTACCCCCAGCTGTGCCTGTACTACCCATAATGTTGTGTGCATCATCTATGCATTGAGGAGTGCATGACACATGGTCTGAGCTCCAAGGCCGATGTGCACCTGTCCCAGTTACCTGATAATTTGTTAGCATAAGCTGATGTAAAATTGGGCAAAATTAGATGTTTATGAAAAAAAAATCAAATTGTAAGGGGTTAACCTTGCTTTTTTTTTTTAGCAAAATCGGGAAAAATCTGATGTTTCTGGAAAATTGCAGATTGTATGGGGTTAGATGTTTATGAAACATTTCAAATTGTAAGGGGTAAACATTGCATATTTTAGCGAAATTGGGCAAAATGAGATGTTTCCGAGAAATATCAGATGTAAGGGATTAACCTTGCTTTTTAGTGAAATTTTGCAAGGTTAGATGTTGCGAAAAATTTCAAATTGAAAGGGGTTAACCTCG